GGGGGAGGAACGGTCCCTCATCCCCCTCCCAACCTTCGCTTGATCCGCTCCACTGGTTATGGTTTCATGTTCTATGCTTTCAGTAATTTTATTTTATTATATAATATTTTGAAACCGAATATAAAACAAACAAGAAGCAAGTAAAGAAAGGTAAGGTGTATGTAAAAAGAACAAACTATTCTAAAAATATAAAGAGTGAGAACGATCGAGAACCATAATATCGGATACAGTATTCGCAATATAGATGTGCATTAGAAACCGCTATCGAAAACGTACCGAAACCGTACCGTACGGTTCCGTGGAGTGCGAATAGCCGGTTTGTTTGTACTGTATTTGTTTTCGCCAGTAAACGTCGCAAATAGGGGCCTATCTGGGGGGTATCGATGATACTTAATTGTGTTTATTTTATGATTGGTCAGTTCTTTATATTGACGTTAGCTTTCGAATAAAGGTATTATTGTCTAGAAATCCTGGCATACTTAGTTGAGGGATTTAATTTGCCGGGCCCGGTCTAATATTTCGAGTGGGTCTGATATCTCGTGGTCTTAGGTCTTAGCTTTTGTGGTCTGAGCTTTCGGGACACCCAGTGGCATTTCCAAAAATTCAAATTCAAAAATACAAATTCAAAACTAGCTGGCTGTGATAATAATTTATTCGGATATACACTTTTATATCAGTGGCACTCAGCCGCGTAGGCGGTGCAGACGTGACATAGAAAAAAAAAAGAAGTCTACCAAATTAAGTATAGTTGAACTTGCCTAAGTCGAATCCAAAATGACATTAAAAAAATTGTTTGTTTGATAAATGTTTGTATATTTTCAGTAATGTTATTGTGGTACCGAACTTTCTATTCCGACCCACAACTATATTCCAAATTAAAAAAATAAAATAAAGGACAGTACAATTATGATTATGTCTGTCACAGACCATAAAACTATGGATGAGGAACCAAACTAAAGTTACAGACATAATGGAAATAATAAGGAAATGGACATAGGCAGGTCACAATTATTATATAGACCTCTATACCTTGGTATTAGTTAAACGTCTTTTTAACTAGTTACCGGTACGACAAGTTATAATATTTGTTTTCCCTAAAGATATCCTCTCAGTAACGAACAAAGGTATCCCTACTTATAATGCACAATTATATTGTTGATGTTTATATAATCATAGGTTGTTGAATGATGGCAAACTATGACAGTATCCAGCATCTAACATCCCGTTCTGCAACCATTTTAGCCTGCGACTCAATCCAAATATTTAACACTCAGCCGCGATCCATCAACCTCAGGCTCGGCTAAGTAATAAATATGATTTTTATTGTGGTCAGGTTTACCCGCTTTTAGTCACTACCTTGCGTTCACTGCTTTCTTACTTTATTCAGTTTTGTCTTTTAATTTAAAGAAAGATGTTATTTATTTGTAAAAATATGAAAATACATTGTTATTTTGCTTCGATATTCTGGATTCGAGGACGTACATTTACATTTCGACCACGTACGAGATTTTATTTTATTTTTATTATTTATTTTATTATATCGGTGTTCACATTGAATCACGCACTTGATTCTTTTTTTTTTTCTGTAGTTTTAGTTTATACACGTATTTAAAAACACCGTTAAATGATATTAACACACGCAAGTATTGTTTTAAAAGGAATATAAGCCTAAATGCAATATTTATCGGAACATAACGCCACGATATTGTTATTTTATAGGAGTTTTGTTAACACCAAAGAAAGTTATTCTGTACCAAAATAAGTGTACGTTGTACAATGACGTGTACACACCAAAAATGATCATCAAATTTAGTACCTAGGCCCGTTAGTGCGATGGTTTTCTACTCTACAGAGAGTTCATCAATCCGGCTTTGGAGTGGCGATAATACAATCCTCAAGGTCACGTGGCACAGCACATCACTGTTTACAGTCTGTTCCAATACTCAAACATGAGACATGAACTACTCTCGCGTATAAGACGATAAGCGTATAAAGGCCAACTCAGACAGCGTCGGCCGACGCAGCCCGACCCGATTTATCGTCGGGGACAGTCTTAAGCCGTCGTGAGAAATATTAATCATGTTTAATATTCTACGACGCGACTGCTCCCGACGCACACCATCGCGTTTGCGTTTAACTCACACAGACCCGACGCGACAACAAATCGCGTCGGACTGCGTCGTACGACGCTGTTTGAGTTGGCCTTAAGACGACCCCCATGCAATACGATTTCGGTCTAAAGGAGTTATGTACTGCCTCTACTTGTATGCTGCACCTCTGTGGCTTAACTAAACAAGAAAGCATGGCGATTGAGCGCATCCAAACACGGGTTTGTCGGTGCATTCTGGCCTATAAATTCACTAGTTATGGTGATGCCCTTTCGCAGTTTGGAATGGAGACTGGCCGACCACAGGTTCTCACTATGTACAATTGCTACAAAATCTGAAAAAGTCTATTATATTTCATAAGTGGTTCCCAACTAACAATGTATGTCACCATGACACTACGCACAAATAAGCCATATAAAGAAGATAAAAGCACTAAAATATGATTTACACTACAGCCCCCATACCGTATATAACCAAAATCAATTAGTAATGAGACCCAGCTGGTCTGAGCATTTGGCACAGAAGCGTCTTGCCGTGCATGATATCTGTAGGTGGACAGAAAGCGTTTTTTCTTCTTTAAAAAAAAAAATTTATAGTGTTTTCAATTAAATATTGTATATTTTCAATGTATACAAATTTTATATATATTTATTGATTCAATTGTTAAAATTCTCTTAAATATTTTTTGAAACTCTTGTCTTTGTAATTATTAATTCTTTATATGTCTTGAATGTAAATTTTAATATTTAATATTGCATTATTTTAATAATGATTTGTAAATTTGTAATTGCCAATTTTATATTTTGTGCACATATATTTAATATAACTTAGCATGCCATTTAAACAGATTGTTTTTACATGTCTTTTACAGATTCTTTTTTTTTCCCTTTTTGGTATAGGCCTACTTTTGATATCAAAACCACAGTAGGCCTACTATTCAGATAAAATCTATGGCAGTATGTATGTCTTTCAGCCTTAAATTTAACGTTAAGCAACTTTTTATAGTATTGAAAGCAGGCTAAAACCTATCCAAATCTACTCCCAAAAAAGCATTATTTTAATGATATTAATACTAAGATTTAACAGCAAGTCCGGTTTACTAATGTTTACCCCACAAATAATTAATGTATGATCCAGTACTAATTGTTGTTACGTTGCCTCATTCCACCACAACGTCATAACCACTTGACCACGAAGGCATTTTGTGGCTTAAGCGTTCCTTTCATTCGTTTAATATCTGACATTACAACTTTGATATTGCACTAATATTGCAGGTGACCAAACTGCCAGATATCTATAAGATACCGGTAAGCCCTCTTCTGTACACAATTTTCAGCTTGCTGGATCTCGAGTGAGATAATTGTATATATAAAGTGTTTTAAATCACTTTATATATATATTATATAAATTTTTGATTTATATAATGTTTTTATTTAAAAACAGAATTATATAAACAGTACAATTAAAATGTTGATAATTTTATCTACGTCATATTTATGTTTTACTAATGGTCCAAGCAGAAAAAAGTCATATAGGCCTACTGAGTGTACACATGAAAATATAACATATCTTATCTTAACTGAATGTTTGCAAAACTAACTATTTAAAATAACCATTTCAAAACACTTGTGACGGGGTTTATGTTTTGGGCGATCCATTCAAATGTATTCTGAACTGTTTTCTGAAAATATAAGTACTGGCCACACTTTCGCTGAACAGTTTCCACTTTACCGTCATCGTTTCTAAAAATGGCATACTGGTTTGTTTTTTCACCAGCATACAACCTGAAATGTATGTTTGGTAAAACGATAACTACTTCTGCATGTTTAAAAATCCAGCTTTTATTCTCACTGACCAACTTTTCGGCAGCATTGAATAACTCGGCATGGTTTTCGTCTAGCTCACTTTTTAAACGATGGATATCCTTGGTCGTGATCTCGCTTCCACAATTTTTAATTACTGGCTGTAAACGTAAAAAAGCAAATGAAATGTGTAAACAGTTTAAAAAAGCAAGGGAAAAATAAGTATTAGTACATTTTGTGTCTGTCACTTATGTTCAATGAAAATCTATAATGAATGACATATCATTTAGATACTTAAAACTTGCTGATAAACGTTTGTTAGAACGTCAGTCAACTGTTTAGCAACTCAACGTCTGATGTAACTTAACTAATTCTATTGTTTACTAGTCGTCATAATAGTCATAATGGTTTTTGATTGATTAGCATGGGCATGGAGTTTATGGTGACATATTTTCCATTTCTTCAATATGATATCATTCTCAAACGAGGGTGATAATAATGCTAGATTACAATATCAAAAATTTATTTCATAACATTGAATTATTGTTTTTAAAACAATGAAATGTACGCTTTCTTGGTCTTTAACATTGGGCTGAAATTATTAAATTGTAGATTTTATTACTATGAATATTACTAAAGTATTGCTTACAATTTTTATAAGGTTATTGTAATTCTAGATGTTGTTGCCCGTCCGTTCATTGGGGAGGGCGGGTCAATAAATGCAAAGTTTTGGGAATGTTCAAGAGCCAATAAAAAAAAAACCCGTATCAACATAAATTTGTAAAGGAGCAGAGTGTTGCTTAGCAACTTCTTGTGGTAGTAATAATATACCTAAACTGGTATAATGTAAAAAAAGCAAATGAAACGCTATTGGGATATCGACATTTTGTAACGTAGACTTTCGTAATTCGACCACAGACAGTTCGAAAACCAGACAGTTCAAAACCAGAAATCTCTAGGTTGCAAAATTTCCTTGAAAGAGTTATTTAGAATTCAATAGTACAATATAATTATATATATATATGTATATATATATATATACTGTCTCTTATACACATCTAGATGTGTATAAGAGACGTGCTACCATTTTTAAATTTGGTAGTGATATTATCTGGGTTGACCATCCTGATAACATACTTGTTGACTTTATTACCAGCCCACAACGTAATATGCTGGTTTGGTGTTACGCATGTAATCTCAGCATTTTTCAAATAAAAATTTGATGATTCAATAACAACCTTGAAGATTTCATCAAACAATTTATCAAGACTCTTGTCTGCCATTTCATTTTTCAGTCGATGTACATCTAAAGTATTTATCGCAGCTTCACATTTTTTGTTGATGGGGTCTTTACAAGGCTAAGGTAAAACAATGGCACATATAACAATTCGAAGCATTATCTAAGAATCTAATAATAATAATAATAATATAAAGGGATTTAACTGCATTTGTCATTTCTTTAGAACAATAACATAATTCAAAAGCAACCTCAAACATACGTGATATACGTAAACTGTAAAAATAATGATACTCCTATTAAACATAACAGCAAGTTTAGTAGAATAATCAATAATTTTGCGTGGCCTTACGTATGATTTTTTAAGTTGTTATATTTGCAAAATACGTTCTAAACCGTTTTAAAACCTTTGTTTTGTGTAGTGTAAGCGTTAGATTTCCTTTAAAAGATGAATAAGCGAATTAAATCTTCAATTAAAATCAACCGTGTTTTAGTTTCTTTAAGCAGCAGGGTATTAGTCTTTGGAACTCAATTCGTATACCCTACCGAAAACGGTAAGGCCTTCATCAGACACCATAGCTTCTCTTCGTCGGAAAAATCCTGAAGCCGGCACTGTTCAAACGATACATTTGTTTTCAAAAATTGTATTTAGTTAAGATTATTTATTTATTTTTTTATTTTACATTTTTACGTTTCCTAAGCTAAGCTAAGTTGTTGTTTTATTCTTATTTCCTTAGTTTAAGATTGACTCCTTCACATTTTTGTGTGCTGCCACTCATGTAAAAGTAATATGTCATATAAACATTATTAAGGTGTAAATGCAGTATAACACAAAGGAGTTTCAGTAATTTAACTCTTCAACATTTAACTGACCAATGTGATATTATGTGATTTTCGTAGTAATAAGAATAGTATAGGCCTAGCCTATTTTATTCTGTGATGTAAAATCTATCAATTTTTACTGGAATTAGTCTTATACATGTTTCAATAATAAGACGTCTCGAAGTGGACCACTTACCTCTACTCTATTAGGTCGACACCGAGTCGCACCGCACCCCATAATTCAGGCGATCTACAATATAAATTTAAAGATAAATATACGTTTCAACAGTTGAAATAAGCCAGGAAAAATAAGTATTTGTACATTTTGTGTCCGTCAATTAAGTTTAATAAAAAATCTCCAATGCATGACAAATCATTTAGCTACTTTTAAACTTACTATGCTGATAAACGTCTGGTAGAATGGCGTTAATAACTGTCAACTGTTTAGCAAATGGACGTCTGATGTATCATAACTAATTCGAATGTTTACTAGTCGTCATAGTAATCATAATGTCTTGTGATTGATTAGCATAGTGACATTATTTCCATTTCCATATAAAATGGTTTTATTATTTCTTCAATATGGTATTAGCCTCAAACGAGGTGATAATAATGGTAAAATATATATATATATTTTTTTTATAAACATTGAATTATTGTTTTCAAAACAATGAAATTATGTAGGCTTTATAAAGCTGGTCTTTAAGATTGGTTTGTAATTATGAAATTATTGGCTTTATTACCGTGAATGTTATTAAAGTCTAACATAACATTTCTAAAGCTAATACTGATTGTTGATGTTATTGTGTTATTGGCCGTCGTCTGTTTATTGTAGAGGGCGTGTTGTATCAAAAAATTCAAATTGTTAGTGCCTCTAAAAAATATCGTATCAACATATATAAACCTACACTGGTATTTATTCTATTGATATAACTTGGCATTTTTTTCAATTTTAGATGTGTCAGTTTTTGTTTCTTTTAGAAGTGGAAGTAATGAGGATGGAGAAAGTAGGGCCGCTTTAATAAATTAGGAGGGAGCCTAAACAAGTTGAGTGGTCAGTCCGTAAGGCAGGGGGACACCACAACCTATATAGCTTTAACATCAATGTCTCTTTGTTTATGGTCTGGTAGAATCAATTCTTCTTCAGTTAAACTCTTGGCTAATATTAATATTATCTGAAATTATTACCTTGCATACATTCTGCAATTTTACACTATAAATTCTATCGATCAACACATCCTATGTGTCCCTGCAATATGGATTCATTGTATATAATTTTCAACCGGTAGGCCCCTACTGATTATTGTTGAATTCACCGAAACTAAACACAGAAAGAATGTCATTGGTCGATATTATTGACCAATGGGACGGCGTTGCTTAGAGGTTGAAAGACGTTGTTTTAAAACAACGGTACCCACACTTGCGTATAGAATGTACGTTGTATAGTAAGGTAAACTATCATCATCATGAACATCATCGCCATTGCCATTGCATCCACTATATGTTCATTATGGTTTTTCTTCTGTATGTCTCTATAACTGTGGGTTGTGGCAGTAATTAACTATCTTCGACCGATATTGATTGTTGATAAATTCTCTGAAACTCAACACAATAATGCCACTGTGCGATGTTATTGATCATTTGATAAGATGTTCGATTAGCAATTACCTTAAATATTTTATATAACAATTGTACAATAGGTCTACTTAAGATAAACATTATTATTATTATTATTATTATTATTATTATTATTATCAATATTATCATTACTGTAAAATTTTATTGTTTTTTTGCTTATCAAGACAATATAATAATTATTATCATCATTCTCTCATCATCATCTCCATCACTAACAATGACCGCCATCACTATCTCCATCGTCAGCACCACCATTACCACCATCATTGCCATTATTATTATCCTTAATAATAATATTAATATTGGGTGCAACTAAAGTTTATTATAAAGGGCATTTAAATACTATGACGTTTAACAGTAGAAAACTTAAACATTCCTCCATCACCAGTAGGACTAACATTTTATTTTTTGTTGAGAATGCTCAAGTACATTTAGCGTCACTAAACCCAAGACATGATCAATTACCAAAATTTAATGTCAGGTGCACGACATGCAATCTCGGTGATGCTTGGTGTTTTTAGATTGTACGGTAGTAACATGGAGAAACAATATATACTGGTTTATTAATTATCGATAAAGCGGATTTTATTTATTAAATGTGTTCGAATGAAAAGAGGACACAATTTATTTGCATCAATTATTATACACTTCACTTGAAAATATAATTGATTAATGCATTAGACATTAAATTACTATTAATCAATTATTTAATTTATTCATTTCATTTTTTATTCAACTTTATTTACCAGGGGTTACCCAAAACAACAGATGCTGACGATCATGGGACACTCACACAAAACATTACTTTAATAAATTTGCAACATTCACAAAAATATTCTCCCAGCGGGAGCGTGTGTCTGTGCCCTATACTACCTTACTGTGTTATGTTTATTAATACAGTATCCACATGGGATTCGGTTATCAGGAAATGTGTGGTGTTGTATTTTTTTAATGACTTTTGTACAGTAATAAAGTACTTAAGATGACACATGATTCATCATGCACATCCACCGGATCTACCCTTTCAGCCATCTTTAACTGCCAGACGACAAATTAGTGATTTTTCCCCCGAGGGGGAATAGACACAAAAACTATACAGAAATAAATTATATATTATAAATAGGAAATATCAATGAAAAATGTATGTACAAGGAAAATTACATTGAAAATACCCAATAACAAAATGAATTAACATGAAGTTAATAATAACATTAATTAACATAGCCTAATAATAGTCTTTTGAACCCTGACATTAAAATATTTAACAAATCATTGTTTTAAAGGGTGGAATAGGACATTTGTATCTTAATTAGAAGGTATACATTTTTTCCTGGCAAAGGGGTTTTCGAGATACAGTATAACAATAAAACAATAAAAATAAAAGAAAATAGCGCCCTCAATCTAACCATTTTATTTTGGAGTTTGTCAGCTAAGGTTTTGACAACACCCGAGTACTAGTAGCCACAAATAGGTACATGTACTGAAACGAGAGGAAAGATATGTTAACACTACTGCCAACCCCTATTAAGAGGACACTTTCCAAATGTGCCAACTGGTCAAATCAATACATATTTAACGACTATATAACTATAGTAGTCTTAAAATAAGAAAAAAAAAATCATTTATATGTTTACATCTTTTGAACAATAAACTTAATTATCAAACTAGAATGCTTTTCTTGTTGATAACTAGAATGGACATTAAAATATTGTGTTTAAATGAAGTACAATAACATGTACTATGCTCTACCAATGGTATATGCACAGTGTACATGCATGACTGTACTTTATTTAAATACAATCTTGTAATTTTGACCATTACCAATGCGATTTCTTGTTTATTGTATTTTCATATGGAATTTATACAGTACGACCTGCACCCTCATTTCTAAGTTGTTACTCCGTTCATGCTATTGTATCTCGTGCTTTCATTAGAAAGCTCAACATCTAAAAAAATATATATTATTATCTTTTTACTCAAATCGGAAAAATTATCGAAACATACAACTTTTGTTGATTTAATTGCATATCTGTTGATTTCATATAAATTGTTTTTGCATTGCAAATTATTGTTATAAACTAATTATAATTCAACAAAAATAAAATCTGTGTCAAATCCTATTAAAAATGTAGTAAAATAATCAATAATTTTGCGTATACCTTACGTAAGATGTTTTAAAGTTGTTGTTTTTGTAAAACACGTTCTAAACCATTTTAAAATTTTGTTTCGTGTAGTGTGAACATTAGGTTTCCTTCGGAAGATAAATAAGCAAATTGGATCTTTAGACAGCAGGGTATTAGTCTTTGGAACCCCACTAGGGCATAACTTCTGTACCCTGCCGAAAATGTCTTCTCGTCGTCAGACAAATCATGACACCTCATCCACTCTTCCAAAGACGAAATTTGGTTTCAAAAATTGTATTTTCCCTACAGTTAATTTTTTATTTTTTATACGTTTTTTAGTCTAAGTTGCTGTTTTCTTCATATTTCCCTAAATTTAAGATTAACTGCGCCACGTTTTTGTGTGCTGCCACTGATGTAAATATGATGTGTCAAATAATAAAATTAAGGCGTCAGTATGAATGACGTTAAATATCCAGAGATCGGACTCTCAACATTTAAATAATTTTAATCACACATACCAATGTGATTCCAATATAGTGTAGTAGCTAATTTATTCTGTAACCTATAAACGTTTACTGGCACTGTGTTTCACAATGACAATGACAGTTTCTATTACTTTATTTGAGCATTAATAAATAATAAATAATCCGAGATAATGTAGCAAAAATTAAGCATTCAAAGAAAAGGGGAAATTCCAGACGCATATTGCTTGTAAATGGAACACCCCATTACAAGATTAAAGTATATCAATTACATAAGCTGCTTAAAATTCAGAATAAAAATATATAAAAGTTATGACAAATTTAACAAATAAGTTTTATTTATATGTTGCGTATATTTAAATACAAATCAGTAAATAGTAGTAAAAGAACAGAAACATGTTAGTAAAAGAACAGAAACATGTTATAATAATTGTATCGTCGATGAAAAAATTCTTTAATTTAACATCCATTGGACCACGAAGAACTATAGGATATGCATGCGGTTCTCTTATACAACTGACAATGCGTACATGCATGCACACACACACACATACACACACATTATATTTAGACATTTTACTCTGTATTAGTCAGTGTTTCAAAAATAACATGTGCCGAAGTAGACGACTTACCTCAGATTTGTATTCAATAGGTCTTACGCAATTTAGTGGTACACCGAGTGGCGCCGCACCCCGTAATACAGGCGATCTACAATATAAATTTCAAGGCAAATGTGTTAACTGTTTAAATAATCAAGGGTAAAATAAGCATTAATACATTTTGTGTTTTCCACTTAAGTTCAATGAAAAGCTCCAATGAATTACAACTGATTTGGATAATTTTAAACTTACTAATGCTAACGTTTGGTATGATGGCAGTAGGCCGGTATTAACGTTAAAATGTTCAGTAACTAGTCCGACTGATGTATTATAACTTATTGGAGATCAATATAAGTGCCTTCTAGGAATTCCAGTGTTTATTTGTTACCATAGTAGACTTTAATGTCTTTTTCGATTAGCAGGATATTAATATTGACATTAGGAGACATTAGAAATAAGACTCCACCGTCAATGCCGTAGCCAGGATTTTTAAACAGTGTGAGACAGTGATAAATAATATGGTGAGCCTAGTCTTAACAGTCAAAGAATAAGACAACGGTAGAACTATATATAAACTAGTTGAAATATTTATTATCACAAGCTTTCGTGTACACAGTACACTTCTTCAGGTGAAATTATCACAAGCTTTTGTGTAGACAGTACATTTCTTCAGGTGAAGAAGTGTACTGTGTACACGAAAGCTTGTGATAATAAATATTTCAACTAGTCCATAAAGTGCTACCGTTGTCTTATTGTTTGATTAGTGTGAGACAGTGTTAGGGTGGACCAATATTTTACGCGTAAATGTGGACCCTTTTTCTTAAACATCCCATTTTACGCAAAAATATTAGTAATCTGGACCCATTTTCTTTAAAATTGACCCATTTTTACACAAAATATGAGAAATCTGGGTCCATTTCTTAAAAGTTGGCCTATTTTACACAAAATATGAGAAATCTGGACCCATTTTAAAAATGTGGACCCATTCTTTGTGGACCCAATAGAACAATTGTGTGGGGTCCCACTGTCCCAATAGCTGGCTACTGCATTGCCCGCCGTGCATTGTTACAATGCCCGTCGAGATCTTACTGCGGTATCATGTGATAAATGTATGTATACATTCACCATATAATGCGTTAGTTTTTCACTGTTGTATTTGTACTAGTTTTATTATTTTTGTAGTATTGGAGCGTCACTCATAGTGTTTCGGAATTTCCCAGGGGACTGACATGTTTTTTTTTCTTCCCATGTTTTTTTGCATTCCATTAAATTGAATGAAATAAAAATAACATAAAAATCAGTACCGCGCTTACCAACCATCAAAACTTTTTTTTTTCATCATCGAGGAAGACAAGTTCTGAATCTTATGGTCGCGGGCCAGTCTTTGAATTCGACTTTGAACTGATAGACTTCGCAGCTCCTTATTCAGGAAACACGCAAATGACGACTGTGAAAGGATACCCCAGGTTGCACTTTTGACGGCGAGGTCCTCAAGTGGTTCATGCTATTTTTAGTATTTCATGGCTTATAAAAATATAAATACATTAAAAGATATGTATGTATTGTGGCTGCTTTCTTTTTTCTCCCCTCGCTCCCTGCCTTCCTTCTCCCAGTATTTTTGTGGCGCGTGTTTTTGCTTAGTAGGCCTACACGTTTGGTATTTTATATGTAATTATCAGTAGGTAATATCCGATCATGAGTTATTGTTCATATAAATGTGTATAAATATTCCTTTAATCATCCTCAAACATGATAATAGTGAACATATCGTATGTCATAAACACTGAATTATTGTTTTCAAAACTCTAAAATACGGTAGGCATATACGCTTTCTAATTGAAATTTGGGCTGGAAAATTGTAGGTTTACAGTAAATGTCATTAAAGTATGTTAGAATAACATTTTTATAAGGTAATCGTAATTCTGGATGTTATTTGCCGTCCTTTCATTGGTGATGGTAGTGGAATATCAATTCCAAACGATAATGATTAATGATGAATTAGCCGAAGCACATAATGTCATTGAGGTACATTATTGACCAATTTGACGACGTTGCTTATAGCAAAGACGTTGTTTATTTTAAATAATAACTGTAGGCCTACTACATTTGAGTGTAGGGTGTACGCTGGTGAGTCAAACCACGATCATCATTATTATCATCATCACCACCACCATCATCACCATCATCATCATCATCATCATTATAATTATCATCACCAACATCTATATTATTATTATCATCATCGTCATAATTGTACCACCAATATAACTTATGATTTTTTTAAATTTCTGTACATCACTAAAACTATGGGTTGACATGCAAATAATTAAATATTTTTGACCGATATTGATTGTTGATAAATTCTCCGAAACAACTCAACACAGAAATATTTTCATTGAACGATGTTATTGATCATTTTGATGAGGTTCGATTATCAATTACTGTACCTTGATTATTTTATATAATAACTGTAAAATACTTAAAGTACTATTGTTGTATTTATTATTTGATTAAGAAAGCAATGTCATAATTATTATCGTCTTCATTCTCATTACCCACAACAACAGCATCTAGGCCTCGGTACATTACTAACAATATCACCACCATCAACATGGTTTCATCATAACCATCACCTACAATCATGACCATGACCACCATAATCGTCATTATTGTCATTCATTATTATAATTAATAATTGAAGTTTCTTTAGTTTTGCTATATTATAGTAAACGATTGTTATTGTTATCATTATTGTTATCAACATTTATCATCATCATCATCATCATCATCATCATCATCATCATCATTATCATAATCAATGTCATCATCGTATTCATCCGCATTCATATCGTCGCCATCATCATCATCCCCATAATACCATCATCACCATCACCACAACCATCACCATTTACCTATCTTAATAAAGTACCGATATGACATTATGTTGTTCTGCAGAGCCAACAAATTTTGTGTGGCTTATAATACCCAAGAGTGTCAATGGACCTATTTAATCATGGAATTATTGTTCCCATAAATGGATTTCATCAAAAAGATGGGAATTATGGTGAAAAAATGAAAACAAATCGAAATGGCATTTACATGATGTATTGTTCTTGAAATAATAATAATAAATGCATCAATGGCGTAACGATGGGGCCGGGGGCCCTGTGTATTTTTTAAACTTGGGGCCCCTTTTCGGTCCCGGTCACCAATTCCATGCCATCGTTGGATTTTAGGTGTGCATTGTTATTCTAATTTTTTTTAAACGACGAATAAATGATATAATATGCATTCAGAAAATTGAGGCTTGGGAGTGAATTTCACAGTTGGAGAGTCTGTCCACCTCAGACCCAACATGATTGGGGCTGAGGTAAGAAAATTTATTAATATGGCACCTTTAGATGGCCGGAAATGCCACTTCAAAGGCAATATAATTTTATTTTTATTTCCGGTTAAAAAATAGCCGGCAGCTCCCCCTTCTCAACACTCTTTATTCCGCCACTGTACATAATATGTCCTACAGTCGATTTCAGACACACATTATGCCATTGCCCTTGTGGGGCTGAGAAAAGAAAATGTATTACTATGGCACGTCTAGATGGCCGGAAATGGCACTCACAGACTTCAAATTGTAAATATAATTTTCTTTTTATCTACATTTTTTATTTATTTATATTTTTTGACAAATTTGGTTGGGTCCCAGGCCGAGAGTGGGGCCCCGTCACAGTGGGCCAGAATTGTTTCAAAGTGTGCTAAAAGTCAATACTCATAAGAAAATACTGATTATGTTCATGTTAAGACTGTTTAAGGGGTTTTCAAACCTGCTGAATTCAATTAAACTATTTTAAAATATGTATAACGTCATCAAATTACTGTTTTTTGATTGGATGAGTAAAATATTCATTGTAATACCTAGGCAGATTCATATTACCTTGGTTATTAGAACATATAAGGGGTTTTCTAACCTGTAGATTTCAACGCAAGCATATTTAAATATG